ACTTAGTACAAAAAAAAGTTTTCTTTGGACAATCACTAGAAAATTTCTACTTTCGCACCTATAGTAATTTATATATAAAACTGTATCACGTTTCACTATGATCATTCTTCAGTTGACTGGAGAATCGTTAATTAAACAACCTTTATATTCTTACCTTCTATAATTTTTTATTTTATACTGCCAAAAGTGCTTCTGATTTTAATAAAGCTAATCCTTTACTACAGTCCATCTACTGTATATATTTATCACTTATCTCACTACTCTAATTTTGGTTAGATGATTACTCTCCTAATCAAGTATTTGTATTTTTAATCTAGATAAGAACTAATTTATATAGTCTGATAACTACCTTTCCAAGCAAGTACTTTATAAGTTGGGTATAAAAATGTTGGTACTGCCTAAACTGAAAATATAAAAATGTTAGTACTGCCTGTCTTAAATAACTTAATCATATAATTTTTATAGCTACAGTCTTATATAATACTGCAATTACAGAACTCTAGGCTATATATAAATAGGTTGCAATTTGGTTTTGTTTATTTTTTACTAGTTTTTGTAAATCTTTTTTATATTTAATAATATTAATACTTATTTTTAACTATTTTTCTATAAATTTTTCTGTTTTTAATAATATATTAAGATTTTTTAAAAATCTTAGCTATTTATAGATTGCTCAGAATCTTGCAATTATACATAGTACTCATTCTTCATATTTAGATCTCTTTTAAGAATTCCTATTCTAGCATTATATTTGCACTTGGACTTAATCACAGGACTTTGTGTTCAATTTGGCATCTAAAGGTTACAAAAACAAATTAATAATTTGTCTTTAGTCTAACTTGAATTATTAATCTTGTTTGTGGAATTTGAGAATTTAACTGCTAAGCTATAGAACTCAAACCCTTAATTTAAATACAGTATATTATTTTATTTCATTTAACTATTTATATATTTAATTTATTTGATATTGCATATAGTAGGCTGTTTTTTTAAACCAAATTTTGTATATTGTTTAACTAATTCAAGAAGCTAAGTTAAAGATACTGTACAAGAAATTAAAATTTTGAAAAAAGTTACTTTATCAAAATTTTATAGCTATATAGTATATAAAATGTTTCCTATTAAAAAATCTCATTTTTACATATATCTTATTTTGAGATAATTGAGTTTAATTATTTGTTTTGATTTTTAAACTGATTCAGATTAATCAAATTTCATGATTTTGATTGGTTATAAGTAATTGGTAACTATTAGGTAATCTTGTAATATGCATGGCTTTAGAAACCTTATGTAATTTTTCTTTCACATTATCTCTATTTTTTATTAAAAAAGCAACTTTGAAAAATGTAAGTTATTAAAATTTATATGAATTAAATAAAAGCTTATTTTTTGAAAAATTGTAAAAATGAACTCTTTTAATTGAAAACACCCATATTTGCCATATAAGTAGAAAAGTATAGCAACTATATAAATACTATATTCTATATATACTATATAAGATTTGGGACTTGGGATTGGGATTTGTCTAGTTTTGACATATGGGATTTTTAGATATGATTGAACAATCCCATTTATCCAGGTTTGTCTATGAAAAAATCCCAAATCCCAAACGTTTGTCCGGCATGTATACCCGTGCCCACAACCCTAGTACTATTACTTCGTTTGTAGTGTATAAAAATTTTTTTATTATAAAAAATTTATAATTTATTTCTTTATAATCACATATATTTATAATTTTATACAACGTAATTATATAGAAGTACTTTTATTCTCAACCCTTTATATAATCATCAAAAAGTTGGGTAAATTAGGTGATTTTATGGGAGGACGACTGTACTTTCCCTATACTTTACTCGGATACGTAGTTTAACAATTAACCTATGTATGTACGAGTAATGTAGGTCAGATTTCTTACCGTAAATTCTCGAAATAACGCCCAGGGGTGAAATTACGAAATTTGGCCTAAATTAAGCTTAACTCGGGCCAAAACCCAAAATAACGCCCATGCCCGTTATTTTGAGAATTTACGGTAAGCGGGTCCAATCCCTAGCCGGAAAAAATAGACAATCCCAAACGCCCCAAAAAAATTTGCCATTTATAAAAAATTAGTATACGTAGATGTAGTTTAGCCAAAATTTCGGATTGAAATCTCAATCATAATAGTTTTTGATTTAGACGGCGGAGATAGTAGTTGAAGAATTTTAGTCTTCCATCAGTTGGCTAGTTTATTACAACTGATTAGCTAATTTTACTTTATATATTTATTACACTATAAAAATTCTTTTATCTATCAGCAAGATTATGCATAATGTATAAATATAAGCATTACCGTTACAGACATTATCTGTTATGATAGTAAATAATCTGATAAGAGATAAAAGATAAAGGGAGATTAGATATGAATCGTGCATAAATATGGCATATCTGATTTGAGTGTGTAACTTCAGCATGAAATGGTAAAAATATACAATATAATTTATATGCAAATATTATTAACACAAAAAACTATGCCTACAACGAACCCCGATGGATCTGAAAAAAAGAAGTTCGTTGTATATGCCCTAAATTTCCTTTAAATTAGGTAATAACGTTAATAAATAGATGATATCTATAATTGGTATTCACGTGGTGAAAACATGGTCAGCAAAATTATCCCCGATTATATGCGATTTTTTACTATATGAAATCGCATCCGCTCACTTTCACTTTCATGCAGCATGTGAACAAAAATTGATTGGTTAAATGAATAAACCGGTTTGTCCCTGTGACTGTAATCATTTGACTTGTCGTTCTTTTTGAAATTTTATTGGCTAATTCGCATAATTTATGATTTGTCACATGCATAATTTTGCTATCTTCCAATTTGACAAAATTATCGAGTTGAAAATGTCATAAAATATGTCATTTTGTCATAAAAAAATATTATTAATATGATTTTATTATGATTTATATTTGTTATAAAAAAGTCATATTTGTCATTTTGCCAACACTGATCTTCGTACCCCCGATAAGGACTGCACGATATTGTAACACAAGGGTTTTCTCGGAGATATGCCTTATCAAGTATCAATTTAAAATGCGGATTGTGATAAATCATGTGGAATTGAGGAAAAATCTTTATAAATACGAGTTGTCGTTATTCCCTTCCCATTTTTCATTTTTTTTTAAAAAAACATGTCTTCTGATAAGTTGCTATTAAACTTTTCTAACAAGATCGGAAAATTGCTTGAAGATCCGGATTATGAATTTAATACAATCATTCGAACTGGAAATGATTCGAATATAAAATGTTTTAAAGCGCATTCCCTTATTTTAAGGGTGATGTCCCCATACTTTCGTACTGCTTTGTCAAGTAAACATGTAATGAAGGAAGGGGATTGGACTTATTTGGAGCAACAAAATTTTTCTCCCTCCACATTTGATGTTATCTTGAAGTAAGTTTTACAAGGAGAAAATTTGATTTGCATATTTGCATTGCTAATTCTTAACGATGCCCAATCCCGTATTGATACTTTATGTTCTACTTTTTTTTTAATTCTAGATTCATGTATACTGGTACCATATCTATAGAAAAAAGAGACAACGCAGAAATTGTTGATCTTCTGGAAACCGCACAAGAACTAGGGCTTCACGAGTTGGTCGACTTTTTAGAGGACCATTTGATTCAAAATCGGGAAAAGATAATACAAAATGACACTAATTTAGTACAAACTGTAGATCACGTGAACGGTTCCACAGAGCTGCGTTCTACAAAAAAACGGGGTCGAATCCGACTCGTTGGAGCTGGGCCCGGTGATCCGAATTTATTGACACGTGCTGCATTTCAAGCCATACATGAGGCTGATATAATATTATCTGATAAACTTGTACCTGAAGAAGTGCTAAAATTGATCCCATCACAGACTGAAATATTAATATCTCCGAAAAAGTTTTGTGCCGATGCTAATGCTGCTCAGGAAGAACTTAATCGCTTGGGTCTTAATGCATTAAATCAAGGCAAAGATGTCGTTAGACTAAAACAGGGTGGTTAGTGTCTTTGCTAAATTTCTTTTATTATTATTACTATTATTTATTAATCATTCTATTTTTTTAGACCCGTTTTTGTTTGGCCGTGGTGGTGAAGAATTTCTTTTTTACCGTTCTCATGGTTATACGCCACAAGTCATCCCTGGAATTTCGTCCTGCATGTCTGCTCCTTTGTTAGCTAACATCCCTGTAACACACAGAGGAGTAGCGTCACAATTTTTAGTTTGTACGGGAACGGGAAAGCAGAACACCTTACCTGATATTCCATCTTATCATCCTTCACGTACAACAGTATTTTTAATGGCATGTCACAGGATTAAACAAATAACACAAGATTTGATAAATGATGGTAAATATCCGGCAGAATGTCCTTGTGTTGTTATCGAACGAGCCAGTTGTAAAGATCAAAATATTATACGAGGAACAGTTGGGACAATTGCAGAAATTTTAGAGCAAGTTGGGCATAAACCACCAGGAGCACTGGTTATCGGTTGGTCCTGTTTAACTTTGTTATGATATTCATAAAGACTATCAACTGAAAAATGAACTTATAAAGACTTATGTATAATTTTGAGGATAAGCACTTTATTATTTAAAAACTTCTATTTACAAATCAAATTAATAAAATTAACTGAACTTTTTGCAATGCAAGAACTACAATGATCAAAAATACATAGTTTTTTTTTGTTAAACTACTGCAGAATAGGTTGGCAGACCCAATAATGGTCACGTGTACATCTAAAAAATTAAATAATCATGCTCACTACAGATCATTTCTTTATTACTGCAGCTTTTTTTTTTTTTTTTTTTGTTAAACCATTGACAAAGTAAATCTGTCAAGACCAGGTGACGCCGAGGAAAATTTTGATAATTCCTTTTCACCATTAGTAGATGCATATGATTTCATGCGAGCTTCAAGCTCTGGCCTAAAATGACGGATCAATCCTTGAACTGGCCATGCAGCTGCGTCACCTAATGCTGTAAAAGATCAGTAAATGTTAGCGAATTATCATTTAAAACATTTAAAACACGATAATAAATGACTTAAAGTATACTTAACGTACCACAGATTGTATGACCTTCAATCTGTTTTGTTAGTTCTTCGACCATATCAATCTCCCTTGGAACTGCATAACCCTTTTGAAAACGCGACATCGTAGCCATAAGCCATTTCGTACCCTCTCTACACGGTGTGCACTGTCCACAACTTTCATGTTTATAAAAATCAGATAAACGAGAAATTGCTTGAACAATATCGGTAGATTTATCCATCACGATTACCGCAGCTGTGCCCAGGCCAGATTTAACGTCACGAAGTGCGTCAAAATCCATTCTGTCATAAACATAGCTTTTTATATAAGAAAAGTTTAATAACAGTAAACATCTATAAATAAAAATAATGTAATGGCTTACAACACATCGTCGCATATGTGTTTAGGAATAACTGGAACGGATGAACCACCGGGTATTATGGCTAGAAGATTATCCCACCCGCCGCGAACTCCGCCACAATGACGTTCAATTAGTTCTTTCAAAGGAATACTCATTTCCTCTAGTGTTAAAGTAACAGTATAAACAAATCATATGAATTTGCTGAGAGAGGGATAGTGAATGCTCACCTTCAACCGTACAGGGATTATTTACGTGACCAGAAATACAAAAGAGCTTTGTACCGCTGTTCTTTTCACGACCAAATCTAGCAAACCATGATCCACCTCTATACTTAAACAATTAGTTGTAAATATTTGCTACTAAATTAAATAAGTCAACGCATAATACAACGAATATTATTACCTTCTACAAATAGTAGGCGCAACAGCCACAGTTTCAACGTTAGCCACGGTGGTCGGACAACCAAATAAACCAATATCAGCTGGAAACGGAGGTTTTAATCTTGGTTTACCTTGTTTACCCTCGAGTGACTCTATCAAGGCTGTTTCTTCACCACAAATATAAGCTCCAGCACCACGATGAATATATATATCGAAATCATATCCAGAACCGCATGCATTCTTTCCAATAAGTCCAGCTAAGCGAAGATTAAAATTATGTGATTAAAATTGAGTTAAAATTATAGCACTATCATTCAAAGCCAGGTTTACAATTTTACTATTCATTAATAATAATAATAATAATAATAATAAGCATCCGATGGACATATATCTACTGAAATCCATTCAGATCTTCGTTGGTATCCATTGAGACTAAATTGCTAACCCTGATTCAAAAATGCATCAAGATTGCATTAAAACGAACCTGCATAAGCTTCATTAATCGCTTCCTGTAAATTCGAGGCTTCATTATAAAATTCGCCTCTGATATATATATAAGCTAAATGAAAATATATATATTTGAGAATCTGGATCAATTGATCAGTTTTGACAAGTCGAATCTTAAGATTATACCAGCACTGGCGTTCATCGCCCGACCAGCAACCAAACATCCTTCAACTAGTTTATGAGGATCTCCGCGCATGATCTCTCGATCTTTACATGTGCCTGGCTCTCCTTCGTCAGCATTCACAACTAGATACTTAGGACTATTTCATAAATTAATTTACAGATTTATCAAAAAAATAAATAAATAAATGTATATACCGGCCATCTGATGGCTTGTTCATAAAACTCCATTTCAAGCCTGATGGAAATCCAGCTCCACCGCGACCTCTAAGACCAGACGTTTTGACCTCTTGTAAAATCCATTCATGTCCTTTCAAGAGAATTTCCTTAGTTTTGTACCAATCACCTCTTTTTAGCGCACCCTTTAGCCGAAAGTCGTGGCGCGAGTATAGGTTTGTAAAAATACGGTCTTCATCCTTAAGATTACCATATGTACGACCTTCTGTTGGATTTTGAACTGTGGCAAAATTTGCTATCCCTTTAAAAACTGGACGAAAACGTGTTGCTTGGAATGCTATGAGTGAAAAAGGATTCGACAATGTGTTTAGTGGATGTATTAAGATCACATAAGTAATAACAGTTGTGATATTGGTTTACGTACTTTGGTTCAAGAGATATTTTTTCAACATCTTTAATCTATTTGGAATTATGGTGCCGGGAATCTATGTATAACGATAATGGTAAGAGGAAATTCGTCTGATTGGCTGTGTAGATCAATTGTCCAGGTAACTTATTTATAATTAGTAATGTGTAGTTTAACTTTTTTAGCAGTAACTGAAATAAAAAATATCTTCGACTATTTCTTAAAACTTTATTTCATGACACATTCCAAACAGTATTGCGAATTCACTTTGCCTTATAATATCTGATATGTTCTAATAATTACCGTTTGCCACTGCCTACAGTACTGGGGTCTTATTCAAGAATTCGATTTGTAAAATTGAATAGTACCCGTGGGTAATAGAATGTGAATTTCTATGTAGAATTTATTTCTTTATTTGCATACCGTTTCGCAAATGCATATATATATATTTAATAAGAATTTACCTTTATCTTTTGCTTACCAAAAATTTTTCTTTGTTATAATAAATAAATATAAATATCATTAAGTCACTCTTTTTAAAAATAAATATAACATTGGTGTTAAATCATTTACAAAAATTGGGCAATTAGTTTGGATTGTCAATCGTAATAAGCTTCGGTTTATAATTTTTCAAATCAAATCAAATCAAATTGCGGAACCCTACTGCGCATTAACAAAAAGTTTTCTTGTGAAATTTTGGTACTACTAAAGCTCTTTCTAGCCTAGCTTAATAGCAAAACCTAATCCTAATCTATAGTGAAATTTTTTTAGCAAAATTTTTAGGTTGGTAACGCTTTACGTGTATGAGAAAATATGATTCTTTTATATTTATAATTGGCCAACAGCAAAAATCATAAATTTAGGCAAAATTACTCGAATTTTTTACTAATGAAATCGTGACCGTTCATTAAGTGAAATAAGTTTCTGGGCTAATTTTACCATTGTACAGCCCAAACCATAAAAATTTCTATTTTGCAATTAAAAAAATCAAAAAATTAAATTCCGGCCAAAATTATGCATAATGCGGGCCAGAATTTTGTTGATCACAGCCGTTGGCCAATAAAAATCGAGGATCAACCGTGACATCTAGGTTTAATGAATCCCGCGCGGGGTTTTTGGAGAAACCGCGATTTACCCATCTCTATTTGTAGCTCACTGATTTGTTCATCGAAATGGCAGCTCATTTGGTTAATTTATTCAATTTCCGACTATAAAAATTTTATTAAATTACGTAATAAGCGGCGCACCCCTAATTATACAAGAAATGACAAGGGTAGATATTATAACAAAATTAATGGTAAAACATAAGTTCGTAATAGAAAGAAAACACGAAGGGCTTATTCTGGAAATGTTAATGGCGATATGAAGGATAATTAAGAGAAGATGGGATCTGTCGGTTAAGATAGTAGAGAAATGTGATGTTTTAGCTAAATCTATTGCTTAATCCGTAAAATTAAAGAAAAGGAATACAGAATATCGATCGTGCCTGAGCTTTGTCTTCGTCACAGACAACACATTTAAGTTCTCGAATGGCGGCGGACTATATATAACCTATTTCGTTTATCCAGTTCTCATTGAATCACGATCTTGACTCTCTAATAAAGCAAATTATATATACTCCGCCCCGTCGTCTGTCCCTCTTATAATAGATGTGTCAGACTGGTTTTCGACGATTTTGACGACTTTTTTGCACATCGAAAGTATATCGTCGTTATCATTAAAAGTAAACATTTTTTTCTAAAAAAAAAAAAAAAAAAAAATTGGTAATATAATGAGTGAATGTGTCATCGTTATTAACAATTAAAGAACATGCACGCCGAACCGCGGTGATGTGCCTTCAATAGTTAGCGTGTATCCTATTCATCATTAATTCCTAACAGAGCATGCGTCATTTCAGAAACATCGAGAAATCAAGAGAAGTTCAACAGCGGCTTTCGATTCTCGGATATTAACAACGATGTGACAGCGTACCTTCAGATACGATACACGATAACTCAACAGTCACAATAAGAAAAACTCACCCTTTATGAATAACCTCAAGGGCAAGACCTTTTAACAACTCAACAATATCCGTCTCGAATTTTCGTCCCTTTCTTAATGATAACAGCAAGGGGATTCTGAACGCATTTTTGTAACCTAGCTGCCGCACAAAATTTTCGCGGATTGGACCCGCATTACATAATTTTGGCCGGAATTAACTTTTTAACTTTTTCATTCCTAAAATGGGGGACGTCTAAAGCCCCTAGCTGTCCCACAAAATTTTTTCCACCCCTTGTAATCGAATTTCAGGATCAGGTGTAACGTGAAAATCGAGACGAAGCAAAAAACAAGAATAGCTCTAAATTTTAATTAG